ACTAAATGAAACTATAAAAGTCTGTTTGGCATTTGCCATTCAGTTCTAAGTACCTCATGCAGATATTCACACTATGAACTGAATATGCACAACGTATGGCACTCCCTTTTCTTCTTCTAAGACGGTGACTTGAATGTCTGCTGAAGTTATGTACCTGGTTATAGAATCAGATGGACAGGTATTATCATAGTTTGGATTTTTTCTTGCTCAGTATATCTCAAAGGTTGTTTTCCATATTACAAGGAAGTGAGTCCTTTTCTTCAGTATGTCACAGTTGGATCTTCTCTTGTTTAGTATGCATGCGTAGCATATCAGAGTTCGAATCATTCTCTCCGTTCAGTATATGCATCAGAGTGAGATTGTATATAATTTTCCCCCTCTCAACGACTTTGGATCTGTTTTGTTTGAAAAACTCAGGCAAATGGATATGGGCTGAGGAGTGTACTTTCTTTTTTATCATGAGAAAAGCTGAGTCTTAAGCACAAAATATCAACAAGCTTGATTGTGTACAAAAGACGGATAAGTTGCGCAATGGTGGTCAAATTATCCAACGAAAAAGGGAGGGGGCCGGGAGAGAGAAAGGGGTTAGCCGCTGCAGAGAAGTCCCACATTGCCCAAGATATAAGCATCAGCCATCTCACTAGTTTACAAAGCCACGCATGCTCTGAGGTCAAGTCACGGAGCCGTGCGGTGAGCACAGAGCGAACTATTCTTTCGCCTTTTACTAAAGAATACCGTGTGCTCGCCGCTTAAAGCGGCATACGCCTATTTTTGGAGAGGATCTTCTGCGGAAGATCCTCACAATCCCAAGTTCTAAAATCTAATGACATGCGAAGTCCTGGTACACTTAGTTTGGGAGCGCTTAAGGACAAAAAGTCTATTGCGTCCATGTAATTGGGGGTTGTTCTTCGTTTAGATGCAAACCATAGCATCAGGGTCTCATTCTGTTCATCATTCAGACTGTTTTTAGTTAGTGGCCGAGGGATCCTTTTCATCTTTTTCTGTTTGACGTGTCAAGCTTCTCTGTCAATTAATATATCACAAGGGATGGAGTTCTTTTCTGCTTGGTATATGTCAGCGTTTCTGTTTAGTATATGACAGTTTGGATCTTCTTTCTGCTAGGAGGAACACTTTCCTTCAACGGTTCTTTCTATCTGGAAGATGCTCCCAATACGCTTGAGTTCAATTCCTTTCAAAGGCTTTCTTTATTTCTTCTCCTTCCACCGTTTCAGTTACTGTTTTTCCTATGCTCTCTGTGGTCAGTGAGATCTATTTCAAATGAAAAACTCAACCAACATGGATATGGGCTAATATAGATTCTTCATTGTAGGCCCATTTCGTGGAGATTCTTTTCACTTGTAGGATATCACAATATTCATTCAGAGAATACAGTGTTCATGGTGCATGGATTGATAAGTCAGTGTATAAATTTAAAGCTTATAAAATTGACAAGCATTTTAAAATCTCCTCAAAGTGGTATAAGAATAAATTATGACCGGTACATTTTAGAATGATCATTCACGTAGTCTAAATTAAAATTTTTTCAAGACTTCCTTTTAATAGTAAAGGTAAAATACATTATCACTAAAAAAAAAAAGTAAAATATATTATGAAATTAACGAGTATGAATCATAACTTGGAGAGGATGCGAGTAATAATTCGCTCTCATGGAACTTAAGGACTATTTTAATTTAATTTTCAAGATTCTCAGCAGTTTATTCTATAACAACTCTTCACAATTGCATCCTTATACGCTCGCTTATATTATTATCCGCGCATTATAGTTGAATCACATGATGATAGAAGGTCCAGTGAATAGATGGTTACTGCAAATAGGTTGAGAATTTTGGGGGTATTTGGATAAGGTCAAAACTATGGTTTCAAAAGTGCTTTTACGGTATACGAAGTAAATATGTGGAGGAGTTTGTCTTAATTTACAAAAACATGCTTTTAAAAAGTGATTATTAAGGTATCTAAACACTTTTTTTGTGTAAGAGAGAAATCAAGTAGAACTGTAAAGCAGAAGCTAGCTCGACGCTAGGCTGGAAGTGAATCTGCATAAGAAAACCCAAAAGTCGGACCCATAGAACCGAAGGCCCATCATACTTAGAATCAAACGAGAAGTCCCACATCGTGAAATATTAACAAGCGACAACCATGTTTCTTGTATATAAAGCTACGCGAGCAATTTGAGCAAGCCACGGAGCCGTGTGGTGAGCACAGAGCGAACTATTCTTTCGCCTTTTACTAAAGAATACCGTGTGCTCGCCACTCAAAGCGGCATACGCCAATTTTTGGAGAGGATCTTCAAGATCCTCGCAACGCCTAGTATGAAGATTTAATTTAATTTTATAACTAATGATTAACCTAATATTCTGTTGTGGGTTACCAAACTCGCTTTGGAGGACCGTTCCGTCGTTACGTTTTATTATGTCGTATGTTGTGTTTAATCGTTATTTCACTATCTTGGAACGTCAGTGTTAATCTTCGTTAGTTAGATTTGCTCCCAATTCGTCGAGTTTATGAATCTGGAGTGTTCAGGACTTTTTGGGGTGGCGTCTCAATCTTTTCCCCTCGCTTAGCACATCGCAAAGGAGCGAATGTCCTCCTGTTTAATGCATCACAGTTTTTCTGTTACACTACTTGGATTCATTGGAGTGAGACTTGTGGGTTGAAAAACTGATACTAAATCGTTTGCTTAACCTTATTAGCTGATTAGTCGCAAAGAAGATTAATCATATTGAGAATCACATCTAGGAGCGAACCTTTTGCTTAATCTTCCTCCTTTCAAAGCACTCCTGACCTTTTCTCCATAATTCCATTTAGATCTGTGTGGGTTGAAAAACTCAAGCTCCATGCATATATGCAAGGGAGTGCTTTATTGGAAGATATGTAGCATAGCACAATATAATACAACGGAATAAAGTCTGAATCACAACACAATATCAACAAGTTGCCTCTTTTTCTTTACAAAGGACTGACAAGATACACAAAATGAAAGAGAGAAGAAAAGAAGAAAGTGCTGGAAAATCTGTGACTGTGAGGCTGACTTTAGCAGTTGCAGAGTTTAATGGCATCTTCAAACCTCTTTTCCAGATCAGAATTATGATCCACAAGACACTGCGTGTGACTAATGTTATCTGAACCTCCTGCTTTTAAGATCTGATTCTCTAATTTAACAGCCCACCATTTTTTTGTTGCAGAGCTTGAGCGTTGTGGGGCTGAGACAGAAGAGTTGTGGCTTTTGCCGTAATGACAGAGAAGTAGCATTGCTGCTGTGGGCGCCATTAACAGGAAAATGAAGTATGTGTGATGAGTAAGGAAGAGAGTATCAAACATTTTCTATTTGTAGTTAGTGAGAGAGAGCAGAGAGGAAAGGAATCATTCTGGCCAAAACAGTGTAAGAGTCTGTGGGCGTTGATTTTGGTGGTTTTTCCCCCCGTCTAGAAGGGTCAAATCCCAGGGATATTTTTTGGGACAAAAATCAGGGATTTCAAACCATGGTATTCAAATTACAGCTTATTCCAATAACTACATATTTTTCTAAAAGAATATTTCCGAAATCTGTAAACATATTGAATATCCATCTCGGACTAGATAATTGGGTGGGGTGGTATACGGAGAGCGAGATGAGTTCTACAGAGTAAGTTCATCCAAGTTGTTGTCTTCTTCGTTAGTCAGAATCTGCACAAAACTATATGTGCTCATCCGACTCCAATATCCTCTTTTAAAAAAAAAAAATGCACGGGCTTTTTTTTCCCCCCTCACCGTATCAATTAATTAAAGTATGTTGAGGTAGGTGTAGAGAACCGAGAGGATTCCTGGTAATTTTTTATTTTGTGGGTGGCAATGCAAAACCGCAAGTATTGAATTGAAAGCCGCTGATTCAGTTCCTGCTTCTCTGCTCCGCCTTTGGATAAGAACCAACTCTCTCTCCCTTTTAGATAAATTGTGCATTTATCTTGGAAGTTGCAAAAACCTATTTTCAACATATTACAAAAAAAATATCCATAGATTATCATACATATTCAATTGTTTTTCATTCAATGTTATCCAAATATTTTTATAGGTTTAATCCTATTATAATATATCCCTTCATATCACCCACGTTTAAAAATTGCATACTTCACACGTGCAGACCGCAGAGCCCTAATTAAGATTAAAAATCTTCATGATGGTTTGGGCATACTTAACATTTTCGTGTCAATATTTTTGCATGGCATTTAGGAATAGATAATTGCCTTTAAAAGGTTATGTTTAGAGTTAGTGATATGAGTCGATCCCACTAATCTACAAAAAATGATAGGTTAGGATTAACTAAAAGTCTACCCACCAATAGACAAAGCTTTTTAACCCACACTGCCTAACCTACAATCCATCTTTTTTTTAAATTTTATTAATCATTATATGTATGTTATTATATTTTATCTGGAAATTAAAAAAACACATATATCATTTATTTATTTGGTGCTTTTAATCAAGATTTGCAGGAAAGATAAAATTTTCATTATATTTTTTTATATTGTATAAAGAAAAATATTTAAAAAATAAAAAATAATTTTAAAAAGAAAATAATAGTTGACAAGCCAATCTGTCAACTCATCATAACGAGTTAGAGTTAACTAAAAGTCAACTCGCCATCACACGAGATCTTTTTAACTCGCACCGCCTAATTTAACCCGGCACAGGCCGAGTCGCAATCTGTGGATTGGTCTATATTACCACCCCTAGTTATGTTTTAACAAGGAACAACCCCAAAAAGGATGGAAAGTGAATAGTTCTATTCTTGAAATACCAATTTGTGTTGATAAGCCAGTTCATTTGTCCTCAAACTTTTCTAGTGAGTATATGAACTAGCGTTGAGTGCCTCTCTAGGAGTGCTTATTTAGCAAGAGTCAGACATATTCAACATTAATATGATATTTGATTGGAAGAGCCACAGTGCCCTTTTTGGTCCACTAACAAAAAAAAATTGGAAAAAAAAGTCAAAAAAGCTGCTAAATATCACACACCAATGATACATTATAACATTGAATCTTGGTATGTTCCTTTTCCTTTAGCACAACCAAAAAAGAGGTTTTAAGTGTTAAAAGAATAAAACGAATGCTATATACAGTTGAACGGTGGCCGTATAAACACTAAGAAAATATAAGGGAATCAACATTGTTGGTGTTGAGGAGGAGGAGGAGCAGATGGTGATGTATCTTCAGTATTATTATTCTCTTTAAGCAATGGAGTGGTGTTTGACCTTTGCACTTCATTATCTTCGTTAAATCTATCAACACTGCGCAAAAATATACCTGCCACCACCACATTAATGAAATAAATCAACAAACGGGCAAATTCAGAAAAGCTCAAGCTCCAGCTGATAGTTAGTTCTGCTAATCCAAGAGTTTGTATATCAAATATACTCCTGCATCATCAAGATGAGCTGATTTGGATATGCCCAAGGAACAATTATAAGCTTCTCTCTTCTTTGAGGTTGGAATGAACTTGATTTCTTGAAAGACTGAAGTTATTTATGGTTAGAAACGATGATAAGTTATTGATGCGCTTTCACTGCTAAGCTTTCATGTTGCATTGGTTTTTCACAAAATACCCGTCAAAGCTTCTATGCGAGAAGATTAGGAATTCAACGCCTACCCCTGTGGACCCAATTCTTCATTATTAAAATAACGATGAAGATTCAGAACAAGGCAGGTAGGCGTGTTTTGTCCAGCCATCAAGTTCAATAATCTTTGACCACCCAAAAACAGAGGAAATGAACAGGAATATGACGACTTACCTATAAACCATATTCCTGCTGCTGGGAATAGGATAGCAGTTAGAGTCAGTGCGGTGGTTCTCCAGCTGTGAATAT